TCAAAGCTGTCTCTGGGAGGAAAGCAGTCCTCTGGAAAAGTATGTAACATCTTGATCATTCTTTCTTTTTTCATATCCAAAATGATCCTCTGCACTCTGAGAATGAATGAGGATGCTCTGAATCTACTGATGCTGATGTACTTTGTGTTCTGCTTGTATTTCCTGTTAAGATAAACAGCTGGGTGGAGCCATCATTTGGCGAACTTTTGGGAGGAGTGAACAGGTCCCTGAAAAAGGGGCCACTCTCAGGGGAAAGCAAAACTACCCAGTGGCCATCTACTGGGAAGCAAGCAGAGAAAAAATCCAGGAAGAGGAAAGTAGATTCTCATGTGTCCAGCAACCAGATCAGTGTGTCAAGTGAAGCACAAAAACCAGACCAGGATGAGCCGTGGGTGGATATGTATGCTCCCCAATCGCAGGTACAGAAATTGTGTGGCCCAGGGGTGCTTGGTACAGTTCTTGGAAAATTTACCTTCCTGAAATTTAGTTCCAATGCCTCTCAAACACTTTTAGCTGTGTGATTGAAGCTAGTTTATGACAATTTCATTGAGTTTGATTAGATTTCATACAGTAGGGCTGAGCACTCTAGTCTAGGTCATACAAACTATTTTACTCTGAGATAGATTGTGCGCCAAAGAACACATCTGTCTGTTACTTAACATTTTCATATCGCTGTTATCTCAATCTACAAGCTTTGTTGCTTTAAATGTTTTTTTTTCTTATTATTTCTGACAGGCCGAACTGGCTGTCCACAAAAAGAAAGTTGAAGAAGTTGAAAGCTGGTTGAGAGTTAATTTGGACAAATCAAAAAAGGTCTGACAAGCATGAAGTACTGTATGTTGGGAGATGTATGTTTATTGAGTCATTTGGGGATTGTTTTTTATACTCTGTGTTGAATTTGTGGTTATTGCTCCACAGGGTGGCGCCATTCTGTTGCTCACTGGCCCCTCAGGATGTGGGAAGACGGCAACTGTCCGAGTCCTTGCCAAGGATTTGGGTTTTCAGATCCAAGAGTGGTCAAATCCCTCCACCACCTCTCAGTACAAAGCGGAGGATTTGTTCACACAAAGCTTTGATCCAGGTCAGGAGTCTTCTTCTTACTAGCCGTGACTGATGTTCATGTTGTGACACCATGCGTAATATCTAGTCAATGATAATTATTTAGCACCCTTATTTTTATCACATATCAGAATCATATATGGATGAAGTAATGTCTCAGTCTCTGTATATTATGAAATGTTTTTTTTTTAGCTTATTCCTCTGACCTTTTTATTCTAACAGATTCAAGGTTTAACAGTTTCCATGGCAGCTCACAAACAGGGTTATTCCAAGAGTTCCTGCTAAGAGCCAACAAATACAGCCGTCTACAAATGAGCGGAGAGAAAGTGACTGAAGACAGGAAAATAATTCTTATAGAGGTGTTGCACAGAACTGCTCTTCAAAAATATCACTATGATGTTGAAAAACACTTTTTTTTTTTTGTGCATAAATCTGAAATACATTATACAAAAAAGAAAGAGTTGGGCTAGTAAAATACAATTGATTTTGAAATTGATGAGAAACTGAACATGAATACTAAATTAAAATCGAGAAGCTGAGTGACACTTTTCCATTGTTTCTTGTTTTATCTCAGGAATTTCCAAACCAGTTCTATAGGCAACCAGGGTGCTTGCATGATATACTCCGGTGAGCTCTAGTACTATATTTTGAAGTATTGTTAATAATTAGTTGTCACTGGTATCTTGATTATCATTGTCCTTATTTTTGCTTGTTCATTTAGGCAATTTATTAAGACTGGCCGGTGCCCACTGGTCCTGATTGTGTCCGATAGTCTCAGCGGGGACAAAAACGCCAGACTTCTCTTTAAGGATGTTCTGCATGAACTTGAAATTCACAGCATTAGGTACAAATACAACCAATTAAATTTTTCAGAACTCTTAGTTAAAAATATTCGAACTCAAGGTCGTCATAGGTAAAGCATCTCTTTTTTTCAGTTTTAATCCTGTGGCCCCCACCAGTATGATGAAGGTCCTAAGCCGCATTGTAACCATTGAGGCTGGAAAGGTAGGTTGTGTGGTTTGCTTTTCTGTGCCTTCTGAGCAGATCGTTTTGACCCCGAGATCTATAATACTTCACTCAGCATGTCTATATCTTTAAATGGCCTTTGCAGAGTTCTGGCAGGATCTCTGTTCCTGATAAAGGTGCTCTAGATCTTCTTTGCTCAGGAAGTTCAGGAGATATTCGCAGTGCCATCAACAGCTTGCAGTTTTCTTCATTTACCGGTGAGAAAATAGCCACTGAAACTATTTATATAGTATATAAAATTAATTTATTCTGTCATTCTTTAAAATAAGTTTATAGCTGTAATTATGCATTCATTCTTTTCGATTCTCAGACAGTTGTCTGGAGAAAAGACTCTGGGCTTCCAAGAAGGGCAAATCCACAGCAAAACCTGTCGTGAGGGCAAAGTGCAGGAGCAAGTCTTCAAAATCAACAGACATGCAGGTTGAAAGCCAAGCTATTGGAGGGAAAGATGCTTCACTTTTCCTTTTCAGAGCTTTAGGGAAAATCCTCTACTGCAAACGTTAGTCGTTTTCAACTCCCATTTTTAAATGTTTTTCTCCCGATTACTATGATGTGTTGTACATCATGAACTGTGTGTAAATTCATTCATATTTATACCAATGGATGGCATGTGATTTTTAGGTGAAAGCTATGAAAGCTCTCAAGCACCCAAGCTGCCTTCACATTTAACAGATCATCAGAGGGACAAACTACTTGTTGATCCTGAAGTAAATATTAATTTATCTTGTAAATTGCACTATATGAAAAGTTTCATCTGCTTTAATGTTCTAACAATCTTTTGATTATGATATTTTCCTCAGCTTGTCATTGAGCGTTCCCATATGTCTGGGGAATTCTTCAACCTCTTCTTGCATCAGAACTACCCTGACTTCTTTTCGGATGTGGAGGATATAGCACGAGCCAGCGAGTACCTCTCTGATGCAGACTTCCTGACAGCAGAGTGGAGCGTGAGTGCAAATGCTATTGGACTTCCATAATAACACACATAGGGATATGCAAGGTTGCTCTAAGATGTAACATTTGATTTCTGAGGACTATCATTATGTAGTATCTTAGCAACAACTTTTTGTTGAAATGGTGTTCATCTTTTCACAGTCAAGGTCGACTATGTTGGAATATGGCTCATCAGTGGCCACTAGAGGCCTTATGCACTCAAACTCTTCTCGAGCACAAGCTAGCAGCCAGTCCAATGCCAGATTCAGGCCTCTTCATAAACCGCATTGGCTACACATAAACAAGATGGTATATTTATTTTTTACTTTATCTATCTGTTGTACTTGTATTATTCAGCATTGTAAGTAATTGTTAATTTATCATACTGATATATTTTAACCCTGGTTTTGTGATAGTATCGAGAGAATTACCTGACCGCACAATCGCTCTTCTTAAATTTCTGCCTTACTCCTGTGAGCCTCCTGACAGAACTGGTGCCTTACCTTGCAAAGCTCACCAACCCAATGAGAAATCAAGGTGAATATGTGACCTTAGCATTCACAAAATATACAAATACACAATTAAAATTTATTCCAAAAATTTTTTTTTATCAAACTGCATACCATAATCTTTCAAGTTCAATATTTATTATTTTCCTGCCTCCTACACGACTATGCTAGACTTTGTTCAAAAGTGAATGGTGCATTTCTCCTCATACATAATTCAGCTTTGTCTATTTGTTCTATTTAATATATTTTTTCCATCTTTCTCATATCAGCTCAAATAGCCTTCATCCAGAATGTTGGCCTTCTTTCTCAAAAGAGGGTTCCTGGAAGGTGAGATAAACACAACTTTGAAGTATTATTGCATTTGAAAGATTTCTCAAATGGTTTAATACATGTCTTTATTTTCAGGCTGAGACTTGAAGCACTTAATGACAAAGACCCTGGTATTTTGGATGCTGACAGTGAAAATGAAGATTCTGCTGCTGCTCCGTCTCTTGACCCGGAATCCAGAGCAGGAAATGCCACAACTGAGCCCACATTGCCAAACAGCCAGGATCCTCCTGGGGAACTTTCTGCCAGCCAGCCCCAGCCCACAAGCACTGAAGCCCTTTTAGATGAGGAAGACCTCTTAATTGAGGAATATGACAGTAATTGACTGATCACATGCCATGGACATATTTAATATCACTTCCCCTGATGCAGTTGTTGTACCTTTAGGTCATAGTTTTTTTGCTTTTCTTTGTTTATGTTTTAAGATGGTAATTATTAGTAGATATTTATGTGCCCCAACACAGTATGTTGCTGTAGAGAATTGTTCATATGTTCTTACTTGTGTTGAAATGTACGGGTTCTGTACACAGTTTCAGCTGTTTTTTTTTTTCAGAGAATATTAGTGAAAGTATCTCTAAAAATAGAACCTAGTATGACCATTTACAGCCATAATTAATTTTTTTATGTTGTCATGGTGTAACAATGCTGTGAGACTGAGAAGTAGATAATCTACACTTCAGTTAAATAAGTGACTGCAATAAATTAATGTTTGCAACTTTGATGGCTGTTTTGTTATTTGTTTGTTTGTTTATTAAATCTATGAATCCATATTTGTTACTGTCGCTGGGGGGCTAAAGATACAGCAGGGAGTCTGTGGAAAGTTATGTGTCATGTATTTGTATGTTTTAGGTGTATAAATGTGGTTACATTTGTATACAATGTATTGCTATTTTTATTAAATTTTATATAATGGTTAAAAGAAACAATCTTTATTTTTTACAGTTCATCTAGGAATTAAGGAATTAATACTAGTAGCTCTTATGAATGATTTTCATGAAGGTTCTTTTTTCTATTATCTTATTGGGGATCCCTGGAACTGTAACACTAGAGCGACATATGTCACGATCTATAGTGTGTACTTTTGCAATAAAGCACCTGTTGGGTCAGACACGCCCCTTTACTAGTTTCACTCCGTCAGCGGAAAGTCTTGAAGTGGAATTTCGCCGTTGTTCTTCTTAACGAAATACGACCCCTCAAGGTTGAACTTTTCGTAAAGGTTTGTAATGGTTATATTTTTATTGTCTAACCTTATTATTCTAACTTCTATTTTCTAGTAACGATAAAAGTTTCGTTTTGCTTTAACCGCCAGCAGTAAGCTACACAGAAAGTATCGAGCTCCATGTCTTCTGTTTTGACTGTCAAACATGATATTTACATAGACTTCAGTTTTAATGTCTTTAATTAGGCGCAGTACTTAACTGATAGTCTATACTTTTTTGTCTCTCAGACTTTTTTTTTTAGAAGTTTATTGTGATGCAAGGTGAGGGTTTATGCCCTCAGTGCCCCACAGAAGATGACATGAGAGAGGGGGATCTAGGTGATGGCATGGGGGCCAGATCCAGAGGACATCATGACCATCTCCCACAAATTAAGAGTAAGGGAAAGTTTCTGGGCTTCCTGTCTCAGTCACGACCAATAAAAGGGGGCAGCGAAAGAAGCAATGGACCCTTCTCTTGGACATCATGCAGAGCCATGTATGCTGTTTTTAGGGAAGAACTGGAAGCTGAACGAGCTGCACGGTGGGAGAAAAGACAATCAGGTTAGTCTTCTGGACTGGTTTCTAAAGTCATTTAAAACCTTCAGACCTCTTAGATTCTTTCTTGGACACGGAGCAGACTAAGCTATACTGTACAGAGTTTATAAAAAAAAAAAAGTGAGTCATGTTTATTAAAAGCTATTGATAGCTTCCTGGTAATGTCCGACCAGGGGTTTTTACTGTGCATGCTCTGTTGATATTTGGTGAAGTCAACACCTGCTGTTTCTTATCAGGAAGGAAACTTTGTGTACTCCCTTGAGCAATTCTGTACTTAAACAAATATTCAACAATAGTCATTTGAGAACCACACTACCACCAGGATATGATGTGCTGGCAAACCTAGAAAACCATGTGCTTGACATGCAAAAAACAAAAGTGTCTTATTATTTTACATCTAACTGCGTTCTGTTGTAGAAAGCTCTTCTGAGGACACAAGTGAAGAGCTGCTGCAGAGAAGACTACAGGAGGTCACAGAGGTAAACTTACTAATGAGACTTTCCAACAAAATATTTTCCATGTCTTACACAATAGAGGACAAGCTGAAGAAAAGTAGCACCCCTGTGAGTTTTTGAATGGAGTAAAGAAAAGATCTACATCTTCACATATGAACATGTCTCAGGTGTATGTAAATCTTCGCTCCATATCAGGAAGTGGAGCTGTTACGCACAGAACTGGAGGTCACTCATCGCCACCTGGAGGGAAAACATGAAGCTCTTAGGATCTTGCAAGGACAGGTATTTCAAAATATTTTGATGATTAATATAATTATTAGGTCATTTATGAAGTGGTTTAAAGCCCTGTGCTACATTTTGTCCCTTAAGGCAATCTTGGACAAAGCAACTTGTCATACTAAAATATTGCTTCAGAAGAGTGAAGAGAGGAACAAGGCCCTAGAAAAGGTGTCCTACTCAAGCAATAACTAAACCGCTTTTAATCATTTTTAATGCAGGCACAAATATGATCTCGTTTCTTTTCATTCTTTTCCACACAGGAGGTTAATGCACTGCAATGGGAGATCACTTTCAACCAGGTGCAGTTCAAGAATGTGGAAAACTCATGGAGTTTAAAGTATGAGAGGTATACGCATGCAAAAAGACACTTTTATAGTTGGCATGAATCAAAAACGACAGTCTTCTCTCTGGTGATACAGAAGAAAAGATTTGCCGCTATTTCATCCCTACTAAAAGGTCAATGTGAAATGCTATCCGCAACCATTTTTGATAAAAATGTCTATTTTTAATAACATTCCCAATAAGACTCAAGCTACATATTGAGAGTCTGTTATATAAATGGGGTCTGTTTTGAATTCATGTCACTTTAAAAATGCCCACATGTCACTGGTTCATGTCTATACCACTTCAGGGTGTTGGCAGAAAACGAAGCCCTAAAGAAAGCACTAGAGGAGAAAATGAGAGAGCATCAGGAGCAAAGGACAGAGAATGCTTGTAAGTCACATCATATTTCTTGCATTTATGTTTGTTTCCAGTGCATAATTTTGCATTTCGTGTCTTAGCTCTGAGCCAAAAATGTCTGGAGCTCCTGTCTATGCTCAGTGCTAAGGAAAGAAGGGACTACCAGAGGACCCAGCCTCCATGCAGCCTGAGAACAGACGGTTCGGCTCTAGAGGTAATGTTGATTAATTGTAGTCTGTGTTAAACAGCTTTGTTCTGGACTAAACAGCTCTCTGTCCTCTTATCTCTCAGCTGGCAGTGTATGGGGCATGTCAGTGTAACTCTAATGGGGGCAAGCCATGCTCTTGTGCCAGAAGTGCTGCTGCAAGTCGCAAACAGGTTCTCCAGCTCAAGCAAGAGGTGCTCGTCTTGTATTTGTCAATACTTCTGTTCCATTACTTTGCAAATTAACCCTCCTATTCAGCCAGTACATGTATTAAATCCATTACAGCTCTGACTTTGCTCATTTGTCTTTGAGGGTCTTGTAACACAATGCATTTGTCTGCATTAGCTGGAGGAGCAGCAGAAGAGGAAGGAGGAGGCTTATGTCATGATGGATGCTTTCCGCATCGCCTTTGAGCAGCAGTTAAGGAGAGTCGGTGAGAACGTGCTCCGGCAGGCTGAGACCGACAGACACCAGCCACATTACCAAAGGGATGAGAGAGGTAAAGTGCTGCTCACCTGTAAAGCTAAAACTGAGAAAAATCATGCAGTGTAACAGATGTCACTTTCATTAAAACTGTCCACAGAAATCTCCAAAAAGTATTCAAAATCAGCAATAAAATCTGACAAAATTGATATCGTTTTTTTTTTTTTTGGCTCAAGTTAGGGCCTTGTGTTATTTTAGTATCATTTATATATGTGACCCTGGATCACAAAACCAGAAAAATATATATTTGTAGCGATAGCCAAAAATACATTGTGTGGGTCAAAATGATCGATTTTTCTTTTATGCCAAAAATCATTAGGATATTAAGTAAAGATCATGTTCCATGAAGATATTTTGTAAATTTCCTACTGTAAATATATCAAAACTGAATTTTTGATTAGTAATATGCATTGCTAAGAACTTCATTTGGACAATTTAAAGACGATTTTCTTAACATTTAGATTTTTTTGCACCCTCAGATTCCAGATATCCAAATAGTTGTATCTCAGCCAAATATTGTCCTATCCTAACAAACCATACATCAATGGAAAGCTGATTTATATGATGTATAAATCTCAATTTCAAAAAATGTACCCTTATGACTTATTTTGTGGTCCAGGGTCACATATATCATTATAATTAAAGTTTTTATTAATATCTAGATTTTTAAATATAGTTCATATACAATTGTTTATATATATACGGTTCAACTTACTCACGGTTCGGTTTGTATCACGGTTTTAGAGTCACGGTTTCGGTACGGTTCGGTATGTGCTATGTTTAGGGGGAAAACTATATTGTCAAATAAAAATAAAGAAATAAGAACAAATAATCTAACTACAAGCAACAGCACAAATAAATAAACAGTGAAAAAAGATACAAATAAAATAAACAGTGCTTTTCAGGTTTTTTAGGTAGGTCTATAACATAGTTTTTAGGTACAGAAATTGAATAAATCAAATGTAAAATAACATTGCATATTTGACTGTATAAATTAAAGATTAATCTTTATTAAAGTTACAAAAGTTATTCAATCAAGAGCAGTGAGTGATTTCCGTGTTGTTGCTGTTTGATTAACATTAAGAAAGTGCTGTCACTTTAAGAGAACGCATTGATCCAGTGCACTGATACTGTACGTTCAGCCGACTATGTCTGCTAGGATACTCACCAAGACGGGTATTTTGACATAATTTTTGTGTGAATTTGTCCATTCAAACACAATACTTCACGTGATGACGGCATAAATGACAGTTATTCCAGCATAAAGCACTCGCATTGATTAAAGAGTGACTGGTTTGTCCACATATTGTTTTTTTCATCACTCTTGTTGTAATGTATTGGGAAGCCAGAATTTGTATCCATCAACAGAAACATGCATTAGCCGAACTCTAACAAACCATATTACAGATGCATTGTCAGAGTTAAGTTGAAGTGCGGTCCTAGTGCATGCCGAACCGTGTGTGGAGAACGGTACGGTTCGATTTTTTACAGAGAACCGTTGCACCCCTAATATATATATATATATATATATATATATATATATGACATTATCAGATTTCATTTTATTTTCTGTTTTAGTTATAGTTCAAGTATTAGTTTTTATTTATTTCCAGTAATTTTACTGCTTCAAACTGTTTAAGTTATTTCATCTAATATTTATGTAATATCCTAAGCTTTATTTACATTTAATAAAAATGTTTGAATAGGTTTAGTTTATGATGATTGACCTGGCTCATGCAATCAATCAATCAATCAATCAATCAAATCAAAATAAAAAAAATGTGAATGCATATTCTGGACCAAAAACAGAAAGCAGTGCACTAACCAGTAAGACCACTGGCTCATTTCTACAACTGGTCCATCATTTCCTTGTACTCTCTCTGGTAGACACCATTACTGCAGTTTCATGTGGCACAATGCTGTACTTTTACAATGCCACTCTCTTTATTTCTTGTCATTTTTTTATTTATTTATTTTTAAAGGGAAGCAAGGGTCTCTCAGTGTAGGTGAAAGGCTAAAGAAATTTCTGCCCACAACAAGTGAAGGAAAGATATCAGCCGATTCAAATGAAACACTGCATATGCTGCTTGATCTGGTCAGTAAACTTTTAATTATGGCCTATGTTAAAAAAAATTTATATACTTTTCTATATACTTTCTCTATACATTTTGAGTTGACTACTTTTTGGTTGTCTTCCCTCTCCAGTTAAATGACAAAGAGGAGGCTTTGGCACATCAGAGGAAGGTGAGCTACATGTTGGCGCGAAACACTGAAGATCTGGAAAAACGTCTCCAGATGCAGCTAGAGGAGCTCGGCCTCTCACACAAAGACAGTAAAACAAAAACAGAGGCTTCTGAGGAGAGTGAATGGAGCAGAGGAAGAGACTGTAGATGCTCTGCAGACAGCGGTGGATCACAGCATCTCTCTGTTCCTGACAGCCCTGCAGCTCATGATGAGCAGTCCTCCAAACCAAATCAAGCCTCCACTGAAATTAAAGAAACTGACAATAAAGATGTTTAAAAGAACAAGAAAATGTTGTATTATTTCAAAAGACAAATACCTGCAATATTTTCATATATTTTGTGCCATTACCTAGGATGAACCAGAACACCAGGTAACCCTGAATAACCTAGAATGACAGAACTTAAAATACTCAAAAATTCTAACCAGTTGATAGGATCTAATATGCATAATGCACAGCTAAATGGATTATAAAATTAAATCCTCCCTCATCTATGCATTAAAAGCCAACAAATAAAAAATCTAAGCTGAATGATGTGTCACCAATCTCCGTTTCATTTTTATCTCTACAGCATCACAAGGGTTATATAATGCTAAATAGATATTGTACATTTTGTAGTGAAATATTTGGACAAACATTACATACCTTTTCCAACAGCTTATGGTTGCAAATAATTTTTTTTAGAAATTAAGTTTCCATGAATACATTTCTTTACAAAATGAAAAATGTAAATATCATGGTTCACACAGGGAATGGGAATAAATACTTTGTTTTTTAGTGCTGTCAAACGACTAATCGCATCCAAAATAAACGTTTTTGTTTACATAATATATGTATGTGTACTGTGTATATGTATTATGTATATATAAATACACACACATACATGTATATATTTCCTAAAAATATCTTATAATTTATATTATAAATAAATATATTTAATATTTAAAAATATGAATATAAATATAGACATGTAAATGCATGTAAAAATTTTCTAAATATATACTGTATGTGTGTGTATTTATATATAGCTACATAATAAATATACACAGAACACACACATATTATGCAAACAAAACTTATTTTGGATGCCATTAATCGCGATTAATCGTTTGACAACACTACTTTTTTTAACTTCTATTTTAATTTTTTTTCTTCTATTAAACATATTTTCATCGTTATTAATAACGGTATAATTATTATTCATAATAACCAAACCTTTGACTGGCACTGTACTTTTCGTAAAGTGAAAGAGAGAAATACAGAGGACTGAATAACTACATATCCCATAATGCTTCATGCTACCGGTTTAGGAAGTTAGCTGTCGTAATGTAAATGTTATGTTCGAAAAAGTAAACTACTTATAACAATATATGGGGTTAGTTAAACATAAATGGTATCGTTTTATCTTATGTACAACAGTTATCGCATCTTTTATCGTTTGCTACCTCAAACTACACTCACTGTCAATCTCCAAAGGTAAGAAAGCTAACTCGCTAGCTGTCTAATCAGATACTATCATTGGTCCAGATGAAAAAGAATCAGTGTAAATTCGTATGTTGCATATTCGTAGGACCAATGAGCGAACATACACTGGAATATTTCCTCGACAAGGGGACGATACAAAGAAAAGATGCTGCTGATATCGAGTGGTATCATGCAGCAAACAGTAAGAGCAAACTCACAGAGGCTCTACAAGGTGAGTACAAATATGAAGACGCATTTGCTTTGCTCCTACAGTACTTTTCGTTTTTCTTACGACCATATCATGATCGAGCTTAAGAAATAATGTGTTCTATGATGCTGTTTTCTCTTCTTCATTGAGGTTCTGCACAGATGATTGAAGCAGATGTACTTCTCAGGGGTCAAGATCCAAAAGTGCCTATTATGGCTCACCCACCTGACAATGACAGTGATATAACTCTGCAGGACTTTCTTAAAGAAGTTGTGAAATCAGACAAAGGAATAAAATTGGATTTCAAAAGGTGGCTGATTTTTTTTTGTTTTTGTTTTTTTACACAGCACTGCTCTATATTCTTACATTTGATCATATTGCTTGTTTAGATTGATTTCTCCCACACTGTCCTTGCTGCTGATGAATGAGTGACTGATCAGCAGTATTGATTTGCATTTCGATTCACAGTCTCGCAGCTGTATCCCCATCCATGACTCTACTGGAAGAGGTCCGAGATCAGCTGCAGGGACCCGTGTGGATCAATGCTGATATTCTCCCTGGCCCTAGAGGCACAGCCACCCCTCTGGACCCTCATGTGTTTCTACAGGAAGTAGCGCAAAAATCAGAAAATGATGTTCTCTCTTTGGGTTGGACCACTGGATGGGACGTAGATGCCGACAATCCCGGTAAGAATGTTACTACACTAAGTTGACTAAAGTTTTGTATTTATTGGCAATCAGAAGTGAGCTATATATAAGTCTGGGGTCAGTAAGATTTTTATTTTATGAAAAGAAAGTGAGACGTTTATTCAGAAAGAATACATCAAGTTGATCAAAATTGACTGTAAAGGCTGCAAAGTAATTTCTATATAAAATAAATGCTGTTGTTTTAACTTTCTATTCATCAAAGAATCCTGAAAAAATAATCAATTATTATTATTCAGACCTTGATTATTATTTGCTGTGTTTGTGTTGTTTCGGGAAATAGGTTATAGCTGGGAGATGGTTCATCAGATGGAAGAATTATGCAGATCCCTAAAGCAACCAGTCACATTTCCAGTCCGAGCAGCTCTCCTTCATGTGTCCTTCTCACAGTTCCAGTGGCTCTTGAAGCAGTCAGACCGGTGAGAAATTCTCCAATAATCAGTCTATTTAAATGTATGTCCATATTTACTATTATAGAGGCTATTAAGCTACACATCTGTGTGAAGGAGCCTTTTTATTACCTCGGTGATTGATTTGTGTTGTATAAGCAAGGACACAATCAAGTTCATTCTAATGCTTAGTAATTTCTTGCTGGATAATTTGGTTCTGTCTTGTCCATTACACTTGTTTGTGACTGGAATAGCAACTCATTGCTTTACTGGAGGTCAGTTCTGAGGTATTAGAGGATGTGAAGGGAAGGCTTAAGCCTCCTCTACAGAGATAGTGCTGCTCTTCAACAGTTGTTTTAAAGGTGATTGTGCAAGTACATTTTTTTTATGGGAAGTATGCTCTTTAATTGTACCATGAAAAAGCATCAATAGATGGAATTCTTTAATGACAATGTTATTTGTGCTTTGGATTATTTGACATTTTCATATTAAAGTGCCCCTATTATGGGTAATGAAAGGTTCATATTTTGGTTTTGGCAGTCCCCAACAACAGATTAACATGCATGCAAAGTCAAAAAAAAACCTTCATTGTCTTATAATATGCATTTATTTTTATCTTACTTGCTCAAGGACTCCCAAACGATTACCTCAACAATTCATTTTTCCAAACCCCTCCTTTGTGTGACACTAATCTGTGGTGATTGGTCTGATTGGTCTCATTTCCATTTCATCATGCCTGTAATGCCTGATAGAGCAGCGTTTGTGAGCACAGTGCTGCTTTGTGTACAGCGTTACTGGGGAAACGGCTATTCTTACTGCTCCAGAAGCAGCACCTAGTGGCAAATAATGAATTTGCATTTTCATTCTGACCAACAGGAAAAGACTAACAAGTGGGTGGGCAATATGCTAATGTTTCATGTTGAAGTCAACATGAAACGGCTTGGGATTCGTTTTAAAAACAACTCGTTTCAATGATTCAGAGTCGACTCTTTCTTTTGAGAGACAATAACTTTATACACGGTGCACTTTTAGATTTGACATTTTGCAGGATGTTTTCACTGTGTTACACAATGCATGAAAGGTAATTTTCAAAAATCCATAATAGGGGCACTTTAAGAAGCCAAATTTAAAGGACCATTCATACATTTTTATTCACTGGTGAAGTTGATTGTTTTCTGCCTTAAAGGCACAATATGTTATTTTTTGCCACTAGAGGGCGCGTATTCAAAACAAACAAAGAAACAAAGGCGTAGTTAGATGAGCCGTGATTGAGTGTGGAATCATGGGAGTTGTCTTCTTCATTCCCACAGCCGATGCAATCTGACGGGACTCATGTTCATGGATGAGCTAATGATTTATTAATGTCGTAGTATGAAGCAGGGTGAGGCTGAAAGCCGTCGAAGTGAAACAAGGCTGCTGAACGAGCGTGACACACGGCTCGAAAGCAGCGGAGCTTTTATTATGCCACAGTCGACCGCTTTCGCTCCTTCCGGAAAGCAGCGGAAGTAAGCAGCACTGTTTTATCATACTAGATGCAACGTTCTGTTATAATGCTACTCTGTGTGGTCGTCACCTGTCTAATAAAATGCATAGCATATTAAAGCGTCTTTGGTATTTCCATGTTTTCTACAAAACAAAACCGGAAATCGAGGGTGTATGATGTAGGGCTGCACGATTAATCAAATTCGGTTGTCATGCGCATTTTGTCAGTAATGCCGGTTCTGTAATCAGCAGGAAATCATCATCACGTGCTTTCAGATGGAGCAGAATTTACTACACAGAGCCGTAGTTCACTGACAAGTTATGCAAAAAAATAACGATTTTATTGCCATCATTGGCAGGCGACAGAATGACACTATAGATACGGTCCGTGTCACTAGTTAAAAATGCTTATTTCTCTGGATTTAAACATTCTTCTAAACATTTGGGATAATGTAAGTACACAAGTCAGCAAAATATATGAAACTGTTCTAATGGTTTTTGGATATTTTAATAAAAAAATCTTACATATTGTGCCTTTAATGTCGGCCTTGTAAATGAGATTCTGTTTAACATCTCACCTGTTCTCTCTCAGATACAGCCTGACTGTATGGACAGGCAAATATGATGTTCTTACAGTGGAGGATCTGTTGCTCTACAGGCAAAACTTCAGCAAAACCAGGATCTACTATGACCTGTTAGAATCTCAGATCAAACAGTTTAAAGGACTACCTGGCTACACCTAAAAAGCAAATACACTTACTGATGTTGTCTTTGAGATGTAAAACAGCAATAAAACACAATATATATGTAATGTAACAAAACTGTGTGAACACACTAATCACACTATTTATACTAAAAAATGGTTTGGAATAGTGCATAAATACGTGAACTGGGATTCACCTATCAACATGTACACTGTATTTGAGTCAGACAATAAGGTTTAAACACGCATTTCATTGGTTGTCATGCGTAATTACCCACTAATGTACTAAGAGACACAAATACAACTCTCAGAGAAATATTATATTTTTGTAATTTACGTTTGCATTTTTTATATTTGAATTTTGTTATCACAAATGCATAATAAAT